CTCCTTGTTCTGTGCCTGGGGAAAACATCCATCATGCCGTCACCCGTGCGGTTTAAGATCCACAGCCTTTAAAAGGAATGTACGTATGGTTTCGTGAACTGGGCGGATCGAGGGTTTGAAAGACAACATAAAGGCAATGTTTGTACTCAAATGTCAAACATTGTGTGAGCAGATTTAGTGTTCTTTCCCTCCCATGAATAACATTCCACGCTGTAACAAATTTATCCATGTTCCTATCAGCACTGCCTTATTCTGGGACAAAACGGGGATGGGCAGACGCAGAGGGGGTAGGAACGTGAGTATTTATTTTGGAAAATCACTCTTAATGGGATTTGTGTTCTTTTCATAACACGATGAAGGCTGTGGTTATTTGTCAAATACAAGGGCAGCAGTGATGCCTGAATCAAAGGCCTGCAGCCAGCTCCCTCGTCTTCCTTGGGTGACTTAAAGGGACAATAACTTGGTGCAGATACCCCCAAGCCCTGGGCAGGGGCAGCTTAAATGCCAGTTATAATGGACAGCCTTGGTGGACAGCTGTCCACCAACAGGCAGCTTTCAGCGGCACTTGCTGACACAGTGCACAGTGGCGACCCATAGAATCAACACTACACCATTGAGTTTGTGCGATGGAAAAGATGACCCTTGCCCTAAATCAATAGGTTCTAACGTGGCCGCCATGAATCACCCAGCATCTCAGGTGTCAATACATCTCTTATATTATGCGTAAAATTTTGTACCCGCTTTGTGCATTCTGAGAAAGGGGAAGGAGAGCCATGGTTTCTCTGAGATTTTCAAGAGGAACCTGAAAAGATTAATAACCATCGCTCTAAAATGATAAGCAGAGCATGCGTATCCAACACAGCCAAAAACAGCTGCAACACAGCAAGTGAGCAAGGTCAAAGCACGCTGGTGAGGAAGCGAACCATTAGACGTGCAAAGGGAAGGAAGAGCCAGGCAGGGGGCTGCACAGAGCCCTGGAGGGGAAGGGCCTAGAACAGAGGGGCAGACGAGTCCCTGCAGAACCAGGATGCTGGGCGGTGAAGTCGGCTAAGGACCCTTGTTGGGGCAAACCTGGCTGGTGGTGTCACTTAAGCTCTCTGGTTTACATTCTTGTTGCTCTGTGATTCCGGATCCTTCGAGTTTTATGATAAAAAAAAAAAAAAAAAAAAAAAAAAAAAACAGAAATCTACATTCTTAATTGACAGCTCTTAACTTTTTACTCTTAAAAGTGAACTCAAAATTAAATGAAGCAGCGCCAGATGTTGTGGCATGGTGGATTAAAACACCAGTTGCAATGCCAGCATCCCATACGAGCACCAGTCTGAGTCCTGGCTGCTCCACTTCAGCTCCAGCTCCCTGCTAATGCGGCTGGGAGAGCAGTGGAAGACGGCCCAAGTCCTTAGGCTCCTGCCACACATGGGAGACTCAGATGGAGTTCCTGGCTCCCGGCTTCCACCTGGCCCAGCCCCAGCTGTTGTAGCGACTTGGGGAGTAAGTGAGCCACTAGATGGAAGATCTGTCTCTCTCCTTCTATCTCTCCCTCTCTCTCTGTAATGCTGCCTTTCAAATCAATAAAGAGCTTTTTAAAGCAAAAACAAAGAGAACAAGTTAAGTAAACAGATCCTGTGCCTAGAGGCTCAGTGCTAGCCAGCAGCCCCCAGTCTCAGGCTTTGCTGGAGAGCTGAGGTCTGGAAGAGTCCAGAGGCCAGTTTGGAGGAGCGGCAGCAGGCTGTGGTTTGTAATCCTGGAAGCAAGGTGGCCCCCACAGAGAAAGGGTCTACAGAGGGGCCAGGTGGGCAATGCAGAGAATGCAGGAACCTCCTGTGTGGGCTGAGAAGCTGTGCTTGGGATGCACCTCGTGAGGTTCAGGAGCTCAGCCAGCTGGCAGGGCCCTGAGCAGGTGGGAGGTGGGGACCCCCCTTCTAGGGGGTCTTGGGATCATGCCAGGGAGCTATGGTGTTTGAGAAAGATGCCTCCTATATGTAGGATTCCAGGGGAGGGAGGAGTCCTGGGAAGAAACTGAGGCAGGCCCCTTGCGACTGAGTTGGACGGGAAGATCTCCGCCCAGGAAGGGGAACAGAAGGGACACGAGCGTGCCAGTGGCCACTGGAGAAGACACAGGGTGTGCCAAGCCACCCAGCGGGGATGGTGGTGGTCGGCCTGGCCCCCGGTGGCAGGATGGGTGCTCAGACCCTCGCTGCTCTGTGCCTCTCCTGAGGAGGAAGCCCCATGACTGCAGGTGCCTTTGGCGCCGCACGCAGAAAGGCTAAGCCGCAGTGTCCCATTGAAGATCCAGGAGCCCCAGGGCGACGGAGCTGCTTTGGGGAACAGGAGACCAAAGCAATAAGGGAGAGGCTTGACGCAGAGGCGTCTGGACCCCTGCTGTGGGCATCCAGGAGGAAGTGCCAGGAATGGACTGGCAGCAACAGGAGTGTGAACAAGATACCCAAGCCGCAGTGCAATTTGAGTTTCTCCTAAGAATGAAGGAGAAGTGGCTGAGCTGCGCCTTTGGCTGTCACGTGCACGAGGCTGACGCTCCCAGAAATGAAGCTAAAACCATGGAAAGGTGGGGGGAGGGGGCGGGACGAGGGGCCGGTGATGTGGCCCAGGGGGTTAAGCCACAGCCTGTGTCGCCAGCATCCCATATGGAAGCACTAGTTCGAGTCCCAGCTGCTCCACTTCCCATCCAGCTCCCTGCTACTGGCCTGGGAAGGTAGCAGAAGATGGTCCAGGTACTTGGGCCCCTGCCACCCACTTAGGAGACCAGATGGAGTTCTGCCGCCTGGCTCCAGCCTGGCCCAGCCCTGGCTGTTGTGGCCACTGGGGAGTGAACCAGAGGATGCAAGGTCTCTCCCCACCTCCCCCACCACTCTGCCTTAAATCTTTAAGAGAAGAAGCAGAAGAAGGGGTCACAGTGCCACATTTCTAGTCAAAGGACCACAAAGAGTGGAGGGGGTGGTGGGAGAGAGAGAGAGAGAGAGAGAGAGAGAACCCAAGGGCTTTGTGGGCTGTGCAGATTCTGTTAGTTTGATCATTTTAAGGTCAGCCCTACCTGAAAGATGGGAAGAGTCGAGAATCAAAGTGCAAAAGAGGAAAAGAAAAGAAGGCACCAGCTCAGGTTCCCCGAGAGGACCACGTGCACCTGCTGCCATCTGGAATCACCTCTCATCTTCCCGCAGACAGGCCAGAGGCTCGGGACACAAAGACAACCGCTCACGCGTGGGATAGAGAGGCAGTGTCACGGGTCACGGTGTGTGGGGGGCGGGGGGGGCAGTGGCCAGAGCCAGTCTCGTGGGTTCTTTTCCTCAGCTTAGTATAGACATAAAAAGCCAGGAAATGACTTAAAAAGAAGCCAAAACTTTTATTTGAGTGGCAAGCCACAGAGAAAGAGTCTGGTGCGAGAGGAGAGCAGGCGGAGTGTCCGAGCGGGGTGCTGGTTCTGAGGAAGGGTCCTGGGTTTCTAAGGCTGCTGCTTTGTTTCATTGGATCATCCTATTGGGGGTGCCCACTGGACAGGAGGGTTCACATACAGTACCTTGATTGGCTTAGGGCTCATGGAGACAGCGGGGGGTCCCCTCCTCTGCCAGCTCTGGGTGAAAGGTTGCACCCACCCTGGAGGTGCGATTTAAAGCCTCAGGGTCACACAGGCAGCACAAGAAACTACTCGTGGGGGCGAGGCCGTCGGTCTGGAGACAGCTTTCCAGCCACAGCCGGCAGCCTGCTTGTAAAGGACGTTCTGCCTACGTCCGAGGGGCCCACAGACCCCCAGCCCCGCTGGGCGGCCTCAAATCCCCCCTTCTTTAATCCACACCCTACAGCTGTAGGGACCTGGGGCGTCAGTGTCGCTCTGGCTACTTCCTGCTGATGGGGGGGGGGGCTGGTCCTAGGGGTCCTCAGGGTGTGGGAGGTGGGGGTGGGGGTGCTCGCGTCCAGGTTGCTGTGGTAGAATGCAATCTCCATGTGGGGTTCCAGCTGAAGGACCACCTGCACCTTGATGGGGTCTAACTTTTGAGAGACAGATTTGACAGGGCCGTTAGAGATACACCAGCTGGGGGGCCGGCCCTGTGGCGCAGCGGGTTAAAAACCCAGCCTGCAGTGTCAGCATCCCGTGTGGACACCAGTTCGAATCCTAGCTGCTCCACTTCCAATCCAGCTCCCTGCTGTGGCCTGGGAAAGCAGTGGAAGATGGCCCAAGTGCTTGGGCCCCTGCACCCGCATGGGAGACCAGGAAGAAGCTCCTGGCTTCAGATCGGCTCAGCTCTGGCCATTGCGGCCATCTGGGTAGTGAACCAGTGGATGGAAGACCTCTCTCTTTCTCTGCCTCTCCTCTCTCTTTGTAACTCTGATTTTGAAATAAATAAATAAATCTCTAAAAAAAATGCATGGGCCAAACATTAGAGTAAGAAGGTGCATACAGAATGGGCCCAGCAGAGAAAGTATCTGAGCCCTGCGTGGTAACCCGGATTTATTGGTTCCCGAAGCTGACCTGTCAGGTGGGTTTTAAGCGACAGGCTTTTTAACCACACTGCCCTTTGTGGGCTATGAGCTGTGTTTGCGTCTGCAGCTCCTGCGGCGTTGGTAGGGACGCAACAAGAGGTGTTTTTTCTGCACATAAGTGTTCAATAACCGGCTGCAGAACCGGTGCCCGGCCAGAGCTGGGGGTCCGGGGGAAGCTAGAGGGAGTCCAGAGGGTCTCGGAGGAGGGCGCGACTCCCTAGATCCTTCTCTTGCTACCAGGGCGCCTTCCCCACCAACCCCAAAGTCCTATATGGAGGTGCCCGAATGTCTGTCGGTGGTCGATGGCGGCGGGGGGTGTCTCAGATTCTAGCGCAGATTTTCTGCTAGTCCCGAGTCCACCCGGCCTGACCCGAAGCGCAGGGTGCGGAGGCGCGCCGGGGTCGCCCCGGGGACCCTGGGCTGGCCCCGGGCTCGCGGGCGGAGCGGGGCGGGACGCCCGCCGGCTCCTGCAGGCCCCGCCCGCCCGGCGCGGCGCCGGCCGGCAGTCGGTGCCGCCTCCGGGCTCGTCTGTCCGCGTCCCCAGCGCTCGGCCGGCGCGGACTCCGCTCCACACCTGGTTCTCTCTGCGGCCCAGACCCGGGTAAGTCACAGCTGCTGCCGCCGGGGCCCTGAGCTCTGCGCCCTGCGAGGACGCCCTAGTCCTGGAAGCCGATCTCAGTCTCCGGGGGCGCAGCGGGCGCGTCCCGGGCGGGAATCGCGGCACGCGATTCACCTGTCGCCTACTTCTCCCGGCTCCTCCTTCAAGCCCTCACCTCACAAAGGCATGGGAGAACCTCTCACCCCCATGGAACGATGAAAACACTTTGCCAATTCTTTATGAGTTATGGGCATTCTCCTGGAAAATTTGGAAAATTCCAAAAAGCATCAAAAGAAAGTTAAGACCATCTCATCCCTTCCCCACTTTTTTTTTTTTTTTCAGACCAGGTGCAATACAGGAATAGGCAGAGGGAGCCTTTGGAGTGGAGGTGGGGGGTGAACCAGGAACGTTCTGGGGCCTTGGCATGGCTCAGTGGAAAGAGCATGGGACACGAAGGGGACTGATGAGATCTGATCTTGATGGTGGCAGTGGGAAAATGGGGACCTTTAGGAAGCCGAGTCTATTGCCCAAAGCATGGCCCCTTTGGAGTGCTGCTGGTGGCCAGGTGGATGTCTCCCATGAGTCCACGTGTAGATTAGGAAGTCCCAGCTCCCTTGAGGGGGGCCCTTGGCCCTAACCAGAGATAGCGGAGCCATTGCTGGTCTGGTGGTTCCTTTAATTCATTTGCAACAAGTGACCTTCCAGGCTTCCCAAGGGGCTGCGGTAAACCTTCTGCCTTCACGCTACCACCAGGTGAGCTGAGGACACTGCCCAGGCACAGAGAGGCGTGAGGACACCAGGTAGGTCATGCCTGGGGCAAGGTACTGGGGAGCAAGTGGGCTGGGAGAAAAGACACACGCAAGAGCATCCAGGGGCTCACTGGTGTCCTCGCCGGCTCCGAGGGCGAGAGGGTTCCCAGGTTGGTTTCGGGTCTGCCCTTCCGGCGGGCGGGTGGAACACTTACTCATGCATTCATGCATGCATTCATGCATTCCATGAATGTTCCCTGTGCTCCCACCAGATGCCCAATGCCTCTCTGGTCTCTTGGGAACAACAGTCGCGGGGACCCCGTCCCCCAGAGCTCGCATGTTGGCGCTAAGCGAGGAGCACAGCAAGTAAGGAAAGTGTACAGGTGATGAGTACAATGGGAAAGAGAGAAAGGGGCGAGTTTCTGGGAGTGAAGGGGAGGGATGGAAATTCTGGTCTCCTCCTAACCGTGGCTGGCTGCCTCCTGGCCTTCCAGGAATGAGGTAGGGTGCAGGTGCACCCACCGCTCTAGGAAACATAAACTTCAATATATAAAGAAAATAATATGGGTTTTTTTTTTAACTTTTTTTTAACAATATACGTTCCAAGGTACGGAATATGGATACAATGGCTTCCCCCCCATACCGTCCCTCCCACCCACAACCCTCCCCTTTCCCACTCCCTCTCCCCTTCCATTCACATCAAGATTCATTTTTGATTATCTTAATATACAGAAGATCAGCTTAGTATACATTAAGTAAGGGATTTCAACAGTTTGCTCCCACACAGAAACATAAAGTGAAAAATAATAGATGATTTTTTTTTTAATGATGATGAAATCAGATCAGACCTATTGTCATGTTTAATCCCAGTGAGAGTCAAGTTGGGAGTTGATAGTTCTTTTTTTTTCTTTTTTTTTTTTTTTACAGAGGGATCAGGTTTAGGATGCATTAAGTAAAGATTTCAACAGGTTTGCACCCCCATAGAAACACAAAGTGAAATTTATTATTTGAGTACTCGTTATAGCATTAAATCTCAATGCACAGCACATTAAGGACAGAGATCCTACATGAGGAGTAAGTGCACAGTGACTCCTGTTGTTGACTTTTACCAATTGACACTCCTGTCTATGGCATCAGTAATCTCCCTATGCTCCAGTCATGAGTTTCCAAGGCTATGGAAGCCCCTTGAGTTCTCCGACTCTTATCTTGTTTAGACAAGGTCATAGTCAAAGTGGAGGTTCTCTCCTCCCTTCAGAGAAAGGTACCTCCTTCTTTGAAGACCTGTTCTTTCCACTGAGATCTCACTCACAGAGATCTTTTGCCAGAGTGTCTTGGCTTTCCATGCCTGAAATACTCTCATGGGCTTTTCAGCCAGATCTGAATGCCTTTAGGGCTGATTCTGAGGCCAGAGTGCTATTTAGGGCATCTGCCATTCTATGAGTCTGCTGAGTATCTCACTTCCCATGTTGGATCACTCTCCCCTTTATTTATTCTATCGGTTAGTGTTAGCAGGTACTAGACTTGCTTATGTGCTCCCTTTGACTCTTAGTCCTTTCATTATGATCAATTGCGAACTGAAATTGATCACTTGGACTAGTGAGATGGCATTGGTACATGCCACCTTGATGGGATTAAATTGGAGTCCCCTGGTATGTTTCTAACTCTACCATTTGGGGCAAGTCAGCTTGAGCATGTCCCAAATTATATATCTCTTCCCTCTCTTATTCCTACTCTTATGTTTAACAGGGATCACATTTCAGTTAAATTTCAACACTTAAGAATAACTGTGTATTAATTACAGAATTAAACCAGTCATATTAAGTAGAACAGACAAAAAAAAACTACTAAAAGGGATAATGTAGTAAGTTGTTCATTAACAGTCAGGGCTATGCTGATCAAGTCACCGTTTCCCATAGTGTCCATTCCACTTCAACAGGTTTCCTTTTTGGTGTTCAGTCAGTTGTCACCGATCAGGGAGAACATATGGTATTTGTCCCTTTGGGACTGGCTTATTTCACTCAGCATGATGTGTTCCAGATTCCTCCATTTTGTTGCAAATGACTGGATTTCGTTGTTTCTTACTGCGGTATAGTATTCTAAAGAGTACATATCCCATAATTTCTTTATCCAGTCTACCGTTGATGGGCATTTAGGTTGGTTCCAGGTCTTAGCTATTGTGAATTGTGCTGCAATAAACATTAGGCTGCAGACCGCTTTTTTGTTTGCCAATTTAAATTCCTTTGGGTAAATTCCAAGGAGTGGGATGGCTGGGTCGAACGGTAGGGTTATCTTCAGGTTTCTGAGGAATCTCCAGACTGATTTCCATAGTGGCTTGACCAGTTTGCATTCCCACCAACAGTGGGTTAGTGTCCCTTTTTCCCCACATCCTCGCCAGCATCTGTTGTTGGTAGATTTCTGAATGTGAGCCATTCTAACCGGGTGAGGTGGAACCTCATTGTGCTTTTGATTTGCATTTCTCTGATTGCTAATGACCTTGAACATTTTTTCATGTGCCTGTTGGCCATTTGGATTTCCTCTTTTGAAAAATGTCTATTGAGGTCCTTGGCCCATCTCTTAATTGGGTTGTTGGTTTTGTTTTTGTGGAGTTTCTTGATCTCTTTGTAGATTCTGGTTATTAACCCTTTATCTGTTGCATAGTTTGCAAATATTTTTTCCCATTCTGACGGTTGTCTCTTCACTCTCCTGACTGTTTCTTTTGCAGTACAGAAACTTCTCAATTTGATGCAATCCCAATAGTTAATTTTGGCTTTGACTGCCTGTGCCTCCCGGGTCTTTTCCAGAAACTCTTTGCCTGTGCCAATATCTTGAAGGGTTTCTCCAATGTTCTCTAGTAACTTGATGGTGTCAGGTCGTAGATTTAGGTCTTTAATCCATGTTGAGTGGATTTTTGTGTAAGGTGTAAGGTAGGGGTCTTGCTTCATGATTCTGCACGTGGAAATCCAATTTTCCCAGCACCATTTATTGAATAGACTGTCCTTGCTCAAGGAATTAGTTTTAGATCCTTGATCAAATATAAGTTGGCTGTAGATGTTTGGGTTGATTTCTGGTATTTCCATTCTGTTCCATTGGTCTATCCTTCTGTTTCTGTACCAGTACCATGCTGTTTTGATTACAACTGCCCTGTAGTATGTCCTGAAATCTGGTACTGTGATGCCTCCGGCTTTGTTTTTGTTGTACAAGATTGCTTTAGCTATTCGAGGTCTCTTGTGCCTCCATATAAATTTCAGCACCAATTTTTCCAGATCTGAGAAGAAGGTCTTCGGTATCTTGATTGGTATTGCATTGAATCTATAAATTGCTTTTGGGAGAATGGACATTTTGATGATATTGATTCTTCCAATCCATGAGCATGGAAGATTTTTCCATTTCTTGGTATCCTCTTCTATTTCTTTCTTTAAGGTTTTGTAATTTTCATCGTAGAGATCTTTAACATCCTTGGTTAAGTTTATTCCAAGGTATTTGATTGTTTTTGTAGCTATTGTGAATGGGATTGATCTTAGAATTTCTTCCTCAGCCATGGCATTGTCTGTGTATACAAAGGCTGTTGATTTTTGTGCATTGATTTTATACCCTGCTACTTTGCCAAACTCTTCTATGAGTTCCAATAGTCTCTTGGTAGAGTTCTTTGGGTCCCCTAAATAAAGAATCATGTCATCTGCAAAGAGGGATAGTTTGAGTTCTTCCTTCCCAATTTGTATCCCTTTAATTTCTTTTTCTTGCCTAATAGCTCTGGCTAGAACCTCCAGAACTATATTGAATAGCAGTGGTGAGAGTGGACATCCCTGTCTGGTCCCAGATCTCAGTGGAAATGCTTCCAACTTTTCCCCATTCAATAGGATGTTGGCTGTGGGTTTTTCATAGATTGCTTTGATTGTATTGAGGAATGTTCCTTCCAAACCCAGTTTGCTTAGAGTTTTCATCATGAACGGGTGTTGTATTTTATCAAATGCTTTCTCGGCATCTATTGAGAGAATCATATGGTTTTTCTTCTGCAGTCTGTTAATGTGGTGTATCACATTGATTGTCTTGCGCACATTAAACCATCCCTGCATACCAGGGATAAATCCCACTTGGTCTGGGTGGATGATCTTTCTGATGTGTTGTTGCATTCTATTGGCGAGAATTTTATTGAGGATTTTTGCATCTATGTTCATCAGGGATATTGGTCTGTAATTCTCTTTCAGTGCTGCATCTTTTCCCGGCTTAGGAATTAAGGTGATGCTGGCTTCATAGAAAGAATTTGGGAGGATTCCCTCTTTTTCAATTGTTCTGAATAGTTTGAGAAGAATTGGAGTTAGTTCTTCTTTAAATGTCTGGTAGAATTCAGCAGTGAATCCATCTGGTCCTGGGCTTTTCTTTGTTGGGAGGGCCTTTATTACTGTTTCAATTTCTGTCTCAGTTATGGGTATGTTTAGGTTTTCGATGTCTTCCTGGTTCAATTTAGGTAGGTTGCATGTGTCCAGGAATCTATCCATTTCTGATAGGTTTCCCTGTTTGCTGGCATACAAGTCCTTGTAGTAATTTCTGATGATTCTTTTTATTTCTGTGGTGTCTGTTGTTACATTTCCTTTTTCATCTCTGATTTTATTGATTTGGGTCTTTTCTCTTCTTTTTTTAGTTAGTTGGGCCAATGGGGTGTCAATTTTGTTTATTTTTTCAAAAAACCAGCTCCTCGTTTGGCTGATTTTTTGGAATGTTTTTCTTGATTCAATCCTGTTGATTTCTTCTCTGATTTTAATTATTTCTCTTCTCCTACTAGATTTGGGTCTGGTTTGCTGTAGGTTTTCTAGATCCTTGAGGTGAATAGAAAGCTCATCTATTTGGTGCCTTTCCAATTTCTTGATGTAGGCACCTATTGATATAAACTTTCCTCTTAACACTGCTTTTGCTGCGTCCCATAAGTTTTGGTATGTTGTGCTGTTATCCTCATTTACTTCCAGAAAGTTTTTGATTTCTCTTTTGATTTCTTCTATGACCCATTGTTCATTCAGGAGCATGTTGTTCAATCTCCATGTGTTTGCGTATGCTCT